ATTATTACGCAGTTTTCGATGACATGAGAAAAGTGTCTTGTTATCGAACAAAATCTTTAAATAATCGGAGACTAAGTATACAGTTGCGAGTGCAAGTCAGCTCTCAGCTGTCTGCATTCTGCAGAGTACATATATATAGGTATAACTACTCTTGAACTTAGGAGCGTACCGTAACAGTTCATCAATTAGGGCACCATAAAACTTTTTTGTTTTTTTATATTAACTCACTAAAGTAACAGATAAAATGTAGAATATGGCTAACAACAGTCTCTACGATAATTTTATACCATATTTTAAAGAAAATAATTATTAATTTTTAGTCTCCCCATTTTGATACGGCACTAGGCGCTAGAGCTACTTTAAATACATGAAAGTTAATGCAATACGTTATTCATGGAAAATTTAATGATTGGCTGACAGGTAACTCTAGTATGTCTTTGCTTTAGTTACAAAAAGCAAAGTGTACATTGTGTACAGTCGTCGTCGTCGGCACAGCGGCTGCAATCGACAACTACACACAGAGAGACTCACACGTACATACACATTTAAATGCCCATAACCTTTTTGTGTTATCTGCATCATCGCCTTTCATATTTGTTGGTGATATACAGCACTGTGATAGGTCAAAAATTTTTTTATGGATAACTCATTACACAAACTTTTATATACTATAAGTGCAGAGTACCATGAGCTCTCAATTAATTGTAATGAATATTCATGTCACCGAGTCCGTATGTATCACGGCACAATAATCTGCTTACGACACTTTTGGAAAAATCCGCTGGAGCGCTGCTGGTCTTCATCTTCACAGCGAATAGAGAGACAAAAGATAGACTTTTAGGGGTGAAAAACTTTTTTTTTTTTATATATACAGATAATAAACTTAGGCTGAAATTTCACAAAAGTATACAATACAAATTAAATGCTCCTCACAACCCTCATTTTCGGGACTAAGGTCTCCAGTGAGTTACGGAGGCTCTTCCAAGCGCCAGAACTTCTGCAAAATTTCAGAGACATCTTTCAGTGCAACACAGTTGATAGCAATAGTTTAAAAAGCAACCATAGAAGAAATAGGTCCCATCGAACCGGATAATAGCCAGCCCAACCGTGTGGCTGTAGCAACTGGTTTATCGGGTTGGCCTTTTTCATTGAGACTGAATATTGAGATCCCTGATCTATCAAAGCGCTTACTAAGAATTTGTCCTTGTTGATACTCTTGACGTGAACGAGAGCAGTACATAGAAGGATACCCGATTCTTTTTTGGGAACAACCTTGTTCATTTGGTTGACCGAAGCTGAGTCCTTTTCCTTAGATTCAACTACACTAGTTTCATCGCTTCCGTCTTCCGCAGTGTTCGTTTGGTGAGACGAAGTCGTTTTTTTAGCTTATTCTGAAGTAAGAGGGAGTGATGCTTTGATCTGTACTTGCTACAACGTCCGAAAAAAGGACATTCCTTAACAAAGTGAGTATCGAAACAATTCAAACATCGTTTTTCCTGAAAAACAACTTTCTTTCGATCCGCTACTGATTTTTCTTTAAAGAGTGGACACGATCTCAGCGAATGAGATTCTTCGCAAAGAAGACAACAAAGTTTATCGGAACTAACGGTATTGGAAGTGGCGCTCTTAGAGTGAACCTGTATATTACAACTACTACGATCGCCTATGCCGTCTAATGATAAGGATTGGTGGTTAAAAAGAAATGTACGTAATTGTTCTAATAAGGGGGGGGGGGGGCTGTGACGATGCCAAGAGAGCGCTGACAATCTCGTTTAGTCCCAACTTCAAATTTTCTAACGAACAACTCGATAAAGAGATCAGTCACCGATGTTGCGTTCAATAGCGACTAGAGAATCTAATGAAGTAAATATAACAGTTTGTAATCTTTTTAGCTCGCACTGAGAATCGGATTTCACAGCCTTGCAAACTAAGATAGCTGTTTACGTCGGGAAGTAATGCTGGGATAGCAATTGTCGCGAGTAGGAATCGGGATCAGCGGGTTAATAAACCATCACGTTCCTTAAAAACTATGTACAAATTTATTAACAGAAAATTTTTTATAAATTATCGCTGTGAAAGAAGCGTTTTCGACGGCGGTCGTAAGCTGACTGACTGTTGCACATAATAGTTTAATTTAAATGTCTCAAGCATTTTGGGTCTGTACATTAAAATAATATAGTGAAAATAGCTTGCGGGTAAGAAAAGATAAACATAAGCTTAATTCAGGTAAAAGTCTTTGTTTCGATTTTGCACGTAAAGAGATAGTAGAGATAAGAAAAGCGTTACTATTTTAAGAGAGAGAATGTTGATGAAAATGTAGCGCAATTAATATAACATGTAAACTGAACATACTGCCCGCCTATTACGTGAGTAAATAAATGTAAATGCATAACTTATGTAAACAAAAGAAAAGAAAAAAGGTTTTTATTTAATTCACTGAATAAGAAACAAGCACTAGCGATGTTTATGCATGTACAGGACCAGAGAGCGCCCAGCCGAAGAAAGTGATCTGGGCTAAAGGTGTTGTTGCGTCGAAAAGGGCGTAAGAGTAAATTTTATATTTAGGCCCAAGCTTTTGCTCAATAGCCTGAGGACATGATAGGAAGGGTTGGAGACGGAGCACAGAGTTGGGCACAGCGTAAATGATTGAGGAAAGGTTAGCTAGTAACTTGGCCATCGGCATTTACACCAGCGGCACGTAATCAGCCATTTGTTTGGAAAAGGTAGCTTAGTTCGCCTTTGGGGAGACTATAGTTGTCTGGTCGCCAGCACTTTCACTAGCGACACAAAACATATAGCTTCAAGGGTTGGGATGTTAACTAATGCTAGCTGCTTGGCCGTCGGTATTTACACTAACTGGCATACAGCGTAGCGTCACTTGGTTGATTTAAACTAAAGCCAGCTGCTTGGCCATCAGCATTAAGGGAGTTAGGTTGCAATTCACTTAACGATGAAAATATTTTTTTTTAAATATATGTTGTAAAGAAACATTGCGTGGATGTAATCACCAAATTTGAGCACAATCGCGTCTACAGATTTCGAGAAAAAAAATTCATAAAGTGTCCCTTTTTCATCGTCTTTAACATGGGCTCAAATGTAAGTTATCATAAAAGTTGTAAAAAAATACCTATTACTCTTGACACAGCGATGAGAATGTTTTGAAAAACTGACATGTTATTTATAACAACTTCATTCGTATACGTGCAAAGTTTCAATAAAATCGCGTCTGCAGTTATAGAGATATTTGCACAAACGTAAACAAATTTGTTTCCTGCTTGTATGCTTCATTCATGTGGCAGACAAGGACGCACTGAGTACACTGTTTGCTGTCAGCTCGACTTTTTATGTGGCGAGATAGCTTTTCACAAAATCACTTCTAGAAGCCATTCTACTGAAAATTATGATCTCAAACTTGGTATAGGCCTTAATGAGACTTTATACTTTAATGATATACCATTAAAACCTCTAATTTCGAAAATTTATAGCACACTTTTATTAAAAGAAGATCAGATTGACTATACCGTTTACTCCTTATTTTTTATCTCTCATAGAGTAAGTATTTAGGCTATTTGATTAATACCATAAGAAACGAGATACCTTGAAGAATATTCTGTAATTTTTTTTAAGTATTTTATTTAAACGTTAACGAGTACTGGCGAGTCGAACACAAATGCATTTTCCGTAATCGAAAGGGCGGATGTTTTTAGGCTAGGTTAGTACAACAGACTTTAGCACGGTGCCTTATGAACATACACGTGCTCCCCTTCACCTCCTCACGGGAGCGACCCAACTCCCTTAACACCAACTGGCACACAGCGTAGCGTCACTTGATTGATTTAAACAAAATCTAGTTGCTTGGCAGTCGGCATTTACACCAACTGGCACACAACTTAGTGCCACTTTATATTATTTGATTTGAGTTTTCCCTTTTTATTTTTACCTTACCACCTGTTTGGCCATCAATATCCGGATTGTACGGCATGCAGTGGGGGGTTTTACACACAAAAAAAAAAAATATGGGGGATGCATAAAAATTAACTTTGAAATTAAATACTCCTTGCTTTTATTATTGTCAAAAAAAGGGGGGGGAGTACAAATGGCTCTCGAGGCAAGATCCGGGTGGCCGGATATAAATTAAGCGGATGGACCGGATTCTCGAGGTCACGTACAGACACCGACCGGGTTCTCCGGGTC